GCTTTACCAGAGTTTATCAGCCCCAGCATGCAGTGGCATTCATTGCTTGTACATAGTGGTGTGTATGTAAGGAGAGCATCCGGTCCTTGGGCTTGTTCAATAACAGCCCTTAGGGAAAATACAGTGCTGGTCTTTTTTTTTCCCTTTTCTTTTTTTATCAAGGAAGAAAAGTAGAAAAAAGTTTCTAGGCCATACTCTTTTTACAGTCGTTTGCTTAGCAAGGAACTTCAGAAACACTCCAGTGAGTCGTTATGGTAATTTATACTGTGCTTTGATTTTACATAGAAATGTTAGCCCAAGATTCTAACACGGTCAAGGGTAGGATGGGTTACACTTTCCTTTCAAATACTATAAAAAGCGTGATGAAAATCGTGAATTTCATGAAAAAGGCAGAGAAAATTAATATTTTGCCATCACAAATTTTGTACCGTGTTTCTCTTGGCTATCTATTCAGCAAATATTGTTATTCATTTTATATTCAGTATTTTGTTGTGCATATGCTTATGGCTGGAAAACATGTTCAGCATTAAGTAAGAAGATATCAAGTTCAAATTTCCCCTCTAAATAAATTTATCTTTAATTCATGGAAAAATTTATCTTCTACCTGCCATACAATTTAAACAGCTCTCTCTTAAAACCTTAACCTTCAAAGGTAATAGAAGCTTGTGCATTTCATTGCTAAATCATGTATCATTCGTTGCAGATGTCAAGGATCTTGAAGCCAGATGTGGCAGTTTTTATTGATGATGTAAAAGAAAGATTTCACATGTTGCCCTCCTTTCCTCTGGGAGAAACAGAGCATCGACATGCTACACACACGTCTAAACATGGCTGATGACTTAACACTGATGCTTGACAGAGGCCATCTGGCTGTGGGCGGTATGAGGATAACTTGTCGGATTGCCAGATATTGATGCCTTTTTCCCCAGGAAATACAGTATACATAATAAACAGAAATTATGTTAACGGCTGCTGCAGATTTGTTTTGAGTTTAGTGGCAGGCTTTTTAGAATGTATTTATTTAAAAAAAAGGTTTCTAAACTATGTAAACTTTCAGAAGACAGAATTTACCGAATGACACTTGGTGACAAGAGTCATAAATGTTAATGAATACCCTTATGTTCATGGCAAGTGTTATGTCATGTTTTAGACAGTGTCATGTGAGGGACTGCAAAAAAAAAAATGGTACGAGACTGAAGGGTGTGTCCGAATGCATCCAGCATAATTTTAAGATGCCAGTTGTTTCCATGATCCAGCACCAGGTAAATATTCCAGTGGCCAAAAAGCCTAAGGTTGAGAGAACTTCCATGTGTGGTGGCATAGCTTTTGACTGTTCTGTAGTTCTCTGAAGTCTGTGTCAACAGCTTCCAGTAGCCCAGAGTGTCCAAATAGGTACTAATTTTTCTAAAAAAAATCTGCATGGCTGTTTAACAATAAATATAATCATGACCACAGTGACTCTAAACACACTAATCACATGAATAAAATATATACTAAAAATAGATTAGAATAAAACAAACTTAAAATAACTTAGTTTTATTTAATTAATTTAAGGATCACAACCTTAATGTACCACATAGTCTTGTGTTTTTACAATATTAATAATAAACTCGCAAGATTTACCACCGTTGTCTCCGTTTACAAAAAAGAAAATCAAATTTTTTGACATTTTAACATTAGTTTTGCCATCAGGGAAAGTTTCCAAAAAGACATGAGAAATGTATATCCGTCTGTTTTTTTTTTCCATACCGACTACGTTCATGCCTCTTTTGCACCCTTCAAAGTCCCCAGATGTGAAGTAGATTACACCCCTCTTCCCCCTCCTTCTGACAGAGCCTCACTCCACTGCAAAGAAAGAACTCATTGAGTTTCAGCCTTTTCTGAAAACAAGCCCCCTTCCCTTGAAACCCCTCCCAGAAGAAAGACAGGGGCACACAGACGACGACACTCTCTAGCCAAACCCTAATTGTGTGTGCATGCGTCTGCATTTTTTTTTTCCTGACAAGGAATGGGAAACTGGCCGAGTATTTGTTCTCTCTGCCTGTAAATGGTGCTCTTAAACCTTTAATTTGCTGGACCAAATTAGTGGAAGTGGCTTAATCTAAGAAAAGAAATTGGAGTTGGGTAAGTTTATTTTTCATTAAACCTTTTGATACAGTACAGTATAATGGTACACTCACTTTCTTTCACCATGTCCTGTCTGGCAAAAGCAAAGAAATTTGTTTCCATTTCACAAGTAAATTCATCATTCTATTACATTATTTTCATTCTAGACAAGTTGAAGAGTCATCTGGTTCTAAAAATACTGTTGGCAATAGTTGTTTCATGACACAGAACTTTAGTGAGACTTTCAATTATTGCAAGGTCGATTTTTAGCTGATCTCTAAAAGGCTTTTTTCTAAAGATTAGCAAACAGTTGTATTGACTAATTACTAGTAATGTGCAAATTGTTGCACAACCAAAGAAGTAACAGCTCTAATGACCTTTACTGAGGCTACATCTTTACCAAAGTCATAGGGCAAGCCTGGTGATACAAGGTTGAAAGCTTTATAAAAATTACTCAACCTTGCCCAGATCTACAAGAGATAATATAATATATACTTATATTAACTTATGATTGTAAGAACTGAAAGCAGTAGCAAGTTACCACAAGATAAAGGCTTTCAGATAAGAAAGCGCAAACTGTGGAGTGTTGGTACATCTCTCTATAAGCAGCACCATGCTTAAAAGTGGCAACATATCATGATCCTAAAAAAAATCATGGGTTTGTCAAAAGTGTCATTCAATGGACAGAGTAACTTTGTTGTAACATCTGTAGAACACACCTGTTCAGGATTTGGGCTGATTTGACAGATGAGTATTGAAGCAAACCAAGAGTGTACCGTTAAGGCTTCCTGCAAAGACAAACTACTTGCCACATTTCATGCCACATCCCAAGAACAACTTGGATTCAAAACTAATTTTAACTATCGGTTGCTCTTTAAACATTTTGAAGGGGGAAAAAAAAATCGTATATAGCAACTAATGTTTTCCAAGTGAAACTGCATACTTTATTAATAAAGAAAATATATAATTAGGAGCCATTACTGAGATAAACATAATTTTCTATACCTAACTTTATGCTTAGAATAATAGAATAGTTTTGTCTTCAGTTTTCAAATTAAACAAAAAAATAGGCTGAAAAAAAATCCTCAAACTGCTGCTAACTGATGGCTTTCCCTTAGCAGACATGTTTCTGCTATTTTGAGCCAAGAAAAGAGGCCAGCCTATAAAAGCTTCTTCACAGAAACAGATCCTTCATGGTGAAGCCAAAAAAGGTCACAACAGGCCATATAGAGTCCAAAACAAACACTGTTTAAATGAACCATGAGACGCCAGCATGGAAACTTTGCAGACATTTTCCGATGACAAAGACAACTGTTCCTGCCAATCTGTAATACAGAGAGAAGTGTGTGCTTCTGTGTAGCAGCTCTTTTTTTAAACTGAATTAATGTCAGCAAATGTCTTTTTACTGCTTCCACTGTAATTGAACACAGACACACTAAAATATTTTAGGATGAATTGTATTTCCATTTGTTTCTGGGTATGATTTCATTTTCTGTCAGGGGGTTTTGATTTACTGACATCTAAACAACTGTCAAAGTTAAGGAAGAAAGTTCTGTCTTCTGAATTTACCTCCATGGGTCAAATCCTAAAAGCCTGAGTGAAGGCAACTGGACCTCTTGGATCTTTAGTTTTACAATGCTTCATATTAAATATTTGAAATAAAACTATTCATGCTTCATACAACGTGATGCATTTGGTACGTTGCAAATGTAGGAGTTGAAGACAAACGTTAACAAAAAAGGTCAGAAACATAAAAGCCCACATGTGCTATGAATAGCTAAGTTGCTTTTAACAAAGGATGTAGAGGAGAAAACTAAAAAAAAAAGTTTCTGGGTTTACTTTCAATGTAGGCAAACTGTCCCGATACTGCCAAGTCAGGTGAAAGCGGATGCAAACATTTAATCTGCGTCTTCAAAGACTTGAAAATATCATGTCAATTTTCAGCAAGAACAAAAAAAGTATTTTTTTAAAAATCTAGAGAGCAGCAGTTTTTATATAGTCTGGATAACAAATTTGTAGAATAACATGGTCAGAGAAAGATCTAGAGCATATGCTTATGTTTTATTTGTCAAACCTCTGATAAACTCATTAAATCAGTTTTGTTCCAGTTGCATATGTGAAGTCAGCATTTAATGCCAAGAAAAACAGAACAATGTGGTTTTTATGACCTTGTTAACACACCACAACTCGTCTTTAATTAAGCAGATGTTTCTTCATAGTCCAATGTTTATAATTGACGTTTAATCTTTCCAAGCGTTCACGTTTAAGATTTAAGTCATATTCAAGGCAATCAACCTAAATATACTATTCAGCGACGAGCTGCTGAATTATCTCAAAGCTGATGTAAAAGTCCAGCTGAAAGTACATTTGCTACGACATCAGTATAAAAATAATAATGAAAATAAAACAAAAACTTTACCCCGCAGGTCTGGGACAGGATTTTAAATGCCCCGCATTTCCACTTTAAGAGGTGAGAAACTTGGATGATGACAGTGTCTCATAAAACTGTAAAAACAACTCTGAAAGGGGGCAGGCAGTTGAGGAAAACAACTACTTCTGTCCTGTCAAAATAGCAGCACCCTTTTCCTCTTATGTGCTGTCAAGATTTACAAGATGCTTTGAAAGATCCCCAGACATCCACTCGCTAAAAACAACACAAACAGAAATTGTGTCTGCTTTTGCAGTCTAATCGTGACTCTGCTCATGGATGAGCTAAGTCTTGGGCCAGACACAAAATGCAAAGCGTTTTCCATCATGTAGTCACAGCTTGGGCTGCACATCATTTTGTTTGACATTTTACCAGCACTGATAGAAAACAACTGAAAAGTTTTAATTAAAACTAATTTTAACTGGAAAAATCTTAGTTTCAATTCAAAAGAAGAGAGCACGTGAAACCCAACAGAGGAAGGTAATTAGCGGTGATGATACGAATCTAATAAAGAGTATTAAAGCTAATTTCTGACATGCTGACATCCTTCACATATTTATTTACATGCTGATAAGTTTAATAAATGGTTCTATGTCAAAGACAAACCACATAAAGATGGTTTATAAAATAAATCATCTAATGTTCAGTCCTCTCCATTTAATTAAATTACATGGTGAAATTGTTGTGGCAAGATTTATGCTAAGAAATTATCTCTAACACTGGTGCATCTCACTGCATTTTTAAGAAACAGAAAATGTTACCAGATAAAACTATTGGTATCAATATTTTTAGTGTGGCTTTCAGTTTTTTTCCACAATTTTGAGCCACCACAGCATTGAATTCAAGCCATTTCTACATGGCAGAGAATACAGAAGGATTGAGGGATGAAATAAGAACTGGTCAAAGGTTTCAGTAAACATAAGCAGATTTAAATCCCACTCATTTTATTTAGAAAACATTGCTTAAAGCAAGGTAGTGAATCCTAAAATAGACTAAATGAGCAAGATTACTGAATGATGGCACCAGAATTCTTATTTCTGTAGTCTAGCCCTTTAAATATGCTATAGTTTAGATAAAAATCCTATTGAAATTTTAATAATCCAACTACACTGAGTCAGATCAAAACCAAGCCCTTTGTGTGTTTTGCCCAACTTAGAAAACCAGTGTATCAAGTTTTCAATCACTCAACTGTCTTTTCAGGCGACCATGTGGCATTTTTGGACAAAGTTTACCTTGGCCCTGGTGTACATGGCAACTCCAACATCTGGCCAAAGTGGAGATGGTGACTGGGGTTCAGGCTTGGACATCCACACTGCCTCAATGGTCATCAATAGCACGTTGCAAGCTATTGGCGATGAGCCTGTGATGGAGAAAACCAGCAGTGACTCAAAAATGACAACAATATCATTACCTTCACCTCCGCTACACTTTGAGCCCCAACCTGATAAGTGTTCTGTTCACTTCAGCACTAACGCAGCTGCTGTGGCTCGACAACTTAAGGCCCACAGAGAGGAGCTGACTTATCTACAAGCCATACAGCATGGAAATAAGGCAGTGGTGGAGAACTTAGAGCAGTTTGTGGGTGCAGAGCTGGGTGATCAGAGTTATGAAGATGTGATCAAGGAAAATATCATTGGCATCCAAGAGGACCACAAGAGCTGCAATGAAGTGGTGGGGAAAGCCGAAGTTGACCTTAAAAAGCAGTTGGAGGGAGATGTTTTGGACTCCTCTGATGGGATGCAGAAGTAAGCTCAGTTTAATGTTGATATCTCAAATGTAGCAGGAGTACCTAAGCATCACTGGTCTTATCCGATTTAGTAAAGGAAATGAATAATGGTTGTTACACTGATAATGGAGATGTATTTTTACTGAGGGTCTCCAGTCAAAGGAGTGCAGAGATGGGACATTTTGTTTTAACAGCCAACACCTCTTTTGTTAAAAACGGCCTTTTTATTAATGTCAGTTTAAAAGGTTTAGAATTGGAATAGAAAATACCTCAGAGCGCAGCAGACAGTGCACTATTATATCAATACATACATTACAGTGTACCGTTTTTCTGTGACTTACTCAACTCCCTCCGTCTCTTTTTCTTCTTGTATGTGATGCTTTTCCTCTTATCGCTCCACCTGCAACTTGGACTGAGCAGGATCAGAGAAGAGTCCTTGGCTTTTGAGGACATGCTTCGTACAACAGCGGGCATCGCCAGCCGGTTGGAGAGTTCATCACAGGCCCTGCAAGCTTCACTAACCCGGCAGCTGAAAGACATTTCAAAATTGCACCGCTAGCAAAGAGTCCACAAGAGGTTCAGAACTGTTCAAAAGTTTCTGTTATAGTGAAAGAAGTCTGGCACCCTGTTTGAAGCTAGAATAAGGGTACTAAACCTTCTTGTTAATTCTACCGTCTCATTTACCTTCTTTTTCTCTGTTTGGTACACGTCTTCCATAGCAATGAGATGCAACAATGTGTCAAAGTGGGACTCTACATTAACACAGATTATAAACATGAAAGGTATCTTTGAGCACAAAGGTTTGGCAGGTCATAGTAAAGAAATGCTGAGTCTAAAAACACAATGTTCCTTTCAAGGAAACTACAAAACCACAATTCATGGCATTACCATTCAACCAGGCATCATTTGAGGAATATGATCAGGCCAAATAGGCCAACAGCATGGGGTTTGCATCTGAGCCAAGATGAATAATAATGAATAAAACTATAGAGGGCTTTTCAAGAGCAGACACATGGACTGCAAATCTACTCAAAAATAATCTATGGATTAGCCATCTGGTTCCAGGGTAAGGAGGGAGGTTTTGTCTTTGTAAAATATAATTTTACAAAGACCGGTCCTGCAATGTAACAATAAAAGAAAGGTGGGGGGTATGTATTCAATTTGATCAATTAATTTCCACAAAATGTTTTTTGCAAGAACTGATCTATTCAAATGTAATAATGACCATTTCCTTACAAACCGTGGTCTATAAAGGAATTAGTTCTGGTAGAAGTCATGAAAAGGGTCATGCTTTGACTCATAAATGGCAAATTCAGTGCCAGGAAATGCAGCTTCTGGTGAATGCTTACTCTATGTGATTCATATTTGAGCCAATAAAGCACAGTTTTACTGCAAGATTGCAATTACATGTTTAAATATCGTGTTATTCGAGCAGGGAGCGCTATAATATCCCTCATTGTATTTATTCACCTAGTCTGCCCTCTAGCTGTTTTCCACTGACATATCTCAGTGTAATGAGGGAGCATGTGTCACTCATTTATTTGCGATTAAAAGAATCAATAGAAACAGAAATAGTGTGAGACCGGTCGTTCCCCCTGTATGTCAGTTTAATGATGTGGCCGTGGTAAGACTGTGGTAAGACTGTGCGTGTGTGTGGGTTGGGGGGGATGAATGGGTAGCCAACCACTTAAAGGCGCATGTGCCAGACTGTGTCCCCCCCCTCTCTTTCAGTCTTTCAGTTGGACGATGTCATGATGCGGATCTAACAAACTTACTTGTCCAAATATATTGCCTCAAATCATAAACAATAACTACTACCAACTTTTAAATGGGAAACAGTCACACGGACGGCTGACGCCGTGCGTAAAACAAGGCGCAGTTAATGGTTTGGGATTTAGCAGAGACGCCAACAGGACTATATCCACTGATTTATTTATTTATTTTTTTTAAAGAAAACGTTTGCGAAGATTGTGTGGGCTGGCTGTTAAAAAGACCATTGCATCAGACATGGATTAGAGCCGCTCCCTGCCTTAACACCAACTCATGGAGAGCTCCAACAAACAGTGCGCGGAGCCGCAGTGTTCAGTCTCTCTGTTTCGTTTAACCCGACGTTGACAGAGAGGAAAGTGTTATAGGCTATACAATTGCTGCGCTTGAAGGAAAATGCAGCAAAGTTAGCGGGTCAGACAGATGCCCATTCAACGCTCCCTCGAGAAACACCAAGTGACAGTTGTGTTGTGAAGTTGTCCTGATATGCGTCCCTGCTGCGAAGATGACAGATGTTGCTCACACGTCGCCGTTACAAGACAGCGCTTTGACGGTAACCGGTTCCTGCTCCGAACTCCTCGCTTCTGAAGTTGGACTTACCTTTCCGTGCGAAGGGCAACATGCTGTACAACCACCTGCTCGGTGTGAGGACCACAGTAGTCTGGGCACTTCTTCTGAGTCAGTCAGGTAAGCGCTGGTTCAACTGTTTTCTCACGGAAAACTAAAACACGATATAACGTAAGGTATTATGAATCTTAGCATAAAAAAAACAAACTAATAAACAAACTTTTGAACCAAGAAATATCTATTGTGTTGAGATGTAAGATTTAGAAGACTAGCATAAAAATGTGCGCTAATTATCTTTTAAGTATTCTCACCTGTGTTAAATACCCATAATCCTTTTCTCCCATTTGACGGACTTGGTGCCTCGAGCTCGGGACAATTAAGTTTCAAATTGGACGTTTTATCTCGTGCAAGAGTTCCTGTCAGTAAGTAGCTTCGTGGAAAAAATGTGTAAGACTAAAGTGTTTTCTGGAAGAGAACCAATATTCTCCTTTCCATGAAAGACTTTGCCCTTCAGAGGACCCCTAAATGTTCATTATTACAATTGGCAAATTAGAGCTAGCCTCTGATCATTTAGTCTACTGTTTTCCATTAGGAATTATTCTGAATTGGAGCTAAATGTCTTCTATGCTTCTCCGAGTTAGTGATGACTTGCTGGCAGAAAAAGCAGAGTAATACGTTTTACAGTTCACAATGTAGTTTAGCAAATGCTTCGAATAAAAAAAATGCTCTATTTCATAGAGATATTTAAAAAAGCTTTAATCAAGATTGATATGAAAACCCATCCCACGCAGTTACTTATGATCTCATTGCCTTTTAACTCCTCATTCATTCCTCATTTGTTCCCCAGCAACTTGCAATGAACGCTTTTTATTCTCAGAGTAAGAAAAGATGTGCTTGTACAAATGTAGATTTTTTTTTACAATAACATGACCTCCTGAACAGAGAAAGTTTCTTATCACAGACTGTAGACCATGAATTCCAATGGGCTTGACAATTGAGCTCCTCCATGTGGGGGTGATTTCAGGTGCTTCTCAATAGATGTGAATACGTTTTTCACTTGAATGCACAAATTATGTGCAGAAACATCCCCTATAGAGGGTAAAGATAGTTATCCTTTTGACATACTGCAGAATCCAAATACCATATTCTGACATTATCTGTCCTGCCTCTATCTCATTACTTAAGCAGGTAAATGTGCAGATGCATGTCATGCAGATTCACCTTCCAGTGTGGCACTGATGGAGTTCACATTCCTGATTGAGCCTTGCAGTTTCCTTCCCCCAAAATTGTTGCGTCTTTTTCTTTTTCATTGAACTTTTTACTGTAAGTACTTGACAGGCCAATTTCACCAAGAGCGCCTCTGGCTGGAGAAGCTGCTGACTCGATTATCCAAACCAGTCAGTGTTTTATACGCCTCGCCAAGAGGCTTGGCCACCGTCCAACATTCTCAGTTCACAGTGCTGGATGTTGGAGGTGTCATCTCGTTTCAAAACTCTGCTGGCAGGAGGCTTTGATCTATGGCACCCGAGAGCCTTTTGTCAAGCCTCACATCTGGTCCTTCACAGATGCACGAACAGATGAACACGCACTGCCCTGACTGTGAAGTGACCAGATAGGAAGCCTCTAGTGCATGATTGTTTGCGAGATTTAAATGATTTCATGATGGCAGGAGATGAGCCCAAGTGTGTCTTTGGCAAATTAACAGAAAAATTCATACAGTAATTTAGCTGATAATCTGTTTATCTGCAATTTAATCGTCTACATCTATAAAAATAAAAAAAAAGAATAAATTTGCTGACCAGGGTTCTTTGCTAAGATAACCATGCAACAACTAATAACATTGTTGGACCTGACATCTTTATTTACCAAGATGAGTGCGATGTGGTTAAGCCTTGGCTATAGCAGCCATGACTTTTGACACTCTCGTTTGATGGTCTTTGATCGTACCACACTTCATTAGGTCGCATTATACTCTTTACTATAAAGTAATGCCAGATAAAGCTGGGCATAAGTTGCATATAATATTGTGGCATCTGAATAGATTTTTAAAAAATATTGTCTTTGATTTTAGTCTTTATTCTTATGCTGTGAATACAATTGCCATTTCTTTTGCTGTTTTCGGACATAAGAATATGCAATAGGGGTTGGCTCTATGTTATATTTATATATGATCTATATGTACTAGTCTGTTTATTTTATTAGATTGGATTTACCTAAATTTGGGGATTGGTTAGGGGAGACATGATACCAAAAAACAAGATGAATACTGTCCATGTAGTTTTTATACCTTCTAAACATTAGGATTAAAAATCCCTTTAGGAAATACAGTAGTTAATCTGTTTTCCATGGATCCTATGATGGGCAACAGCATATACCCCACAGTATGCCAACATCCTTTATTAGTTGGGTCCATCATCAATGTACTTGTCTTTAATAATTTTTCCTTTCCTTTCAAGGACAATTGAATTGTTTTGAGGCCCCAATAAACTGCATATGCTACAACCTCAAATGTGTAAATTTGATCATAGAATTTTTTGGGATTAACTGAAGATGTCACAACAGGAAAATGCAAACAGACATGACTGGGCACTCTAATTTGCCCCTAGGTGTGAATGTAAGTGTGTGTGTGTGTTTGCCTGTCTCTGTGTGGCACTGCGATGGCCTGGCGACCTGTCCAGGTTGTCCTATTGTCAGCTGGGATAGGCTCCAGCCCCTTGCAACCCCATCAGGAATAAATGGTATAGTAAATGGATGGATAAATGGAAGGATGGATGGACATGACTAGAACCTTGTACTTCAAGCAAAAAGTGTCAGTTACCAGTCCTTTTTCAAAAATGCACCGGCTGTTACAAAGAATGATAGATTGCTAAAAAATAAACACTCTACACTTGAGAGAAATTAACTCACCTCTTCTTAACACATGCAAGTAATGGTGTGTGTAATTGACTGACTACACTGATTAAAGTGGGGGCAGTAATCCCCAAATGAAAGTATTCCTATCTATTCCCATGTCATTCACTCCGCAGCAAACTGACACAGGACATGAACACAACCTGAAGGCAATTCCATCCAGCAAGCATATGTCAAATAAATGTGATTAAACCACCTCTCACTCTAAAAGCTTACATACATAATGATAACACCTGAGAGGCAGAGTTGTCTAGTAGAAGAGATACTTCCACAATCTCCACCTGCTCAACTTGAGAGATTTCGGATTTCATGGGGAACGCAGATCAAGAGATCAAACGATTCGCTGAGATGTGGAAAAGTCGATAAGTCTTTACAGAGAGAGTCTTAGAAGTTTAATGTAGGCATCCGTGATGAAAGGTGGCATGGTCTCAGTTCTCACCCCCCTAACGCTCAAAAGCTGCGATATCATAGACAGATTTACTATCATTTGCTAGGTGAGGATTAGCGAGGGCAGCACTGAGGGAACATCAATATTATCACAACACACACTGTTGAATTGAAGCTGTGAGTAATGTAAAAGTGGTTTGTAGCAACTTCCTAATAACTACTATATTTAAATTTAAAGTGGTGCATAAAAACCTCCAATGCTGATTTGTTGATGCTCATCCAGTATGTCAGCTTTTGTGAGTTATACTATGAAAGAAGGTTGTGCTATGGGCATTAAAAGCAATCATTCATCCACAGTTAATTGTCACGAGAAGACCCACTCACACGCTGAGGATGATCTCTTCAAGACGCTGTTTGCTGGTTACAACAAGTGGTCAAGACCCGTGCCAAACATCTCCGATGTGGTCATTGTCAAGTTTGGGCTGTCCATTGCACAGCTCATTGACGTGGTGAGTGGCTACATGTGGATTATTTGATGCTAACAGAATTTAACAGGTGCTGATCCAAAGCTTTTCACATGAAGTGAATTCATCAGAACATAAACTTTGGTGTAGTTGGAATAGATCAGCACAATATTTTGCATTTTGTTTGGAACTCACACAATCCTCTGGACTAACCTCAGTTTTAAGAGCCATAACACTTCTCTCTTTGTCCACCTGTCTGTCAGGATGAGAAGAACCAAATGATGACTACCAATGTGTGGCTTAAACAGGTTAAAAAATGCATGCCGTTGTCAATTTATTCAGATTATTTTCTTTGGAAAAACATGGTGCCATACATAAAAAAGGAAATTGTGTGTATGATCAATAAACCAGGGATCACACTGCTCTCACAATCCTTTATTTGTGCCCTGAAGGAGTGGAATGATTATAAACTTCGGTGGCGACCATCTGACTTTGACAATGTAACATCCATCAGAGTTCCATCAGAGCTCATATGGGTACCGGATATCGTCCTCTATAACAAGTAAGTTTAAAATGTTATCAACAATCATTTTTATGACCATATTATTTTAAAAAATAACAACAATAAAGAGTAATGCTGTAGCTCCCCTATAATTTTGTTTGTTAAATGTAAGTTGTGAACGTGGCCATAACAGTGAGATAAAGCTGACTTACAAAAACTGTTTATGCCCAGCTTCTAGTTCAAAACAAAGATACTTCACAGTCTGAGAACAGAGAAACCAGACAAATATTCAGAGATGCCTTCAAGATGTTGACAAATTTAGTTTAAAATCTTCAATAAATGTTGGATAAATACACTGTTTCCATTGCTTTTTTTTTTACAGAAAAGATAGTACTCAAAACTTTTTTTATTCAAACTTTTCTTTTCTTGCTACATTCATAGTAAGATTATACTGTTTTATCTTGAGTCCTGATTATTATCTGCTATTTTGTGTGAGGTTGGTGCCATCTAGTGACGGAATAATTTCTGTGTCATACACCCTGACAGACCATATTTCTATCTACGGTCTAATGTTGATTTGTGATAGGAGCAACGTGTTGTTATTTTTTAAAATGTATTGTACTTTATTATTTTCAGGGGGTGGGGTTGGTTAATTTAAAAATGGCATCAACTATTTTCTTTGCTTCAGTGTGAAATCAGTTATAAAATCCACAAATGTTAAGATTTCCAACCCTTTACCTGAAGGTGACTCATGCAGACTAAACAAAGCAGGTTGGCAATAGAGTTCTGCCTCATCGAGCTTGTGTGATCACAGTCTGTTAGTAAGATTAAAAGAGGTGAGACTGATGCAGCGATAACGGCTGAGCATTCCACTGAAGCTATTATCACGATTAAAGCAATGAATGGAAATAGATTTTAATTACAAAGATTATTAGTAGCATATTTTTCACTATTTCCAATATGAAAGCGACAATAGTAAAAGTTCCTTATCTTATACTCTGATACTAAGCTCTCATATTGCACATTCCGTTAACTTGTGTTTGTACTTCTTCTGCAGTGCTGATGGTGAATTTGCTGTGACCCACATGACAAAAGCCCACCTGTTCCACACGGGAAAAATTCGCTGGGTCCCACCTGCCATTTACAAGAGCTCCTGCAGCATCGACGTCACCTTTTTCCCCTTTGATCAGCAGAACTGTAAAATGAAATTTGGCTCCTGGACTTATGACAAAGCCAAGATTGACCTGGAACGAATTGAAAACACCGTGGACCTCAACAACTACTGGGAAAGCGGTGAATGGGCCATCATCAATGCTGTAGGAACGTACAACACCAAGAAATATGATTGCTGCCACGAGATTTACCCAGACATCACCTACTTCTTCATCATCCGAAGACTTCCTTTGTTTTACACAATCAACCTTATCATCCCTTGTTTGTTAATCTCCTGCCTCACTGTTTTGGTTTTCTATCTGCCATCAGACTGTGGTGAGAAGATTACACTTTGTATCTCTGTGCTCTTATCCCTCACTGTCTTCCTCCTGCTTATCACTGAGATCATCCCGTCCACTTCCCTCGTTATCCCTTTGATCGGAGAGTACCTTCTCTTCACCATGATTTTTGTCACCCTGTCAATCGTCATCACCGTGTTTGTGTTAAACGTGCACCACCGATCCCCCAGTACTCACAAGATGCCCCATTGGGTGCACTCCGTGTTCCTGGACTTGATCCCACGGTGGTTGTTCATGCGCCGCCCTGCGCCTGACGGCCGGCGCCGCAGGCTGTTGCTGCTCCAGCAGGAAGCAGCTGCAGAGTGGCGGCAGCTCCGGACAGCTGGGCACAAGTCCGGCAACTGCATCAGCACCTCCTCTAACTGGTTAAGAGACGCGACAACTCTGGGAGACCCTGAGAGGAGCTGTTATGAGGATTTGGAGCTTGGAACTCTGACTTCATACTTCTCTTTCCGCCCACCCTCACCCAGACCTCCAGGGTCGACTCCCCCCCCTCAGCAAAAAACCTCACAGACCCGCCAGAACCGTCAGGAAGTAGCTGCAGGAGGCACCAGACAGAAAAGTGGAACCAGAGTTAATTCTACTAAGAGACCAACTAAAGCTGACAGTTCAGTTTCAGACTCATCACTGATGCTTTCACCAAGTGTTGTGCGTGCTTTAGAAGGAGTGCATTACATTGCAGACCACCTGAGGGCTGAGGATGCTGACTTTAGCGTGAGTATAACACTAGCATCACTGTTGTCCTCACCATTCAGTTATGCTCATCCGTCTCATTCATGTCACAAAACAGAGACAGGTGTATACATTTATGACTAGTGTGTATAGATTATAGTACCAAATATCACATTTACTTATTTCACTGCCGCTTTTGCAACATATAAAGTGGTTTGTTCCTAAAAGGAAGAATTATTTGAACACTGCAATCTTTGGGACAGTGATTACGGTTCCAGTGGCACAAATAGCTTGTAAATCTCTCTGGTCAGACAGGTGATGGTATTAGAATTCTTCTTGAACAGGCGTACTGAAACCATGTTGTTGATTAGACAGTTATTATCATTAAATAATGTACATCATGAAAAAACTGAAAAAACGTTATTTTCCTCTTTGTCCCCTGTTGTTACAGGTTAAAGAAGACTGGAAATATGTAGCCATGGTGATTGACCGCATATTCCTGTGGATGTTCATCATTGTCTGCCTCCTTGGGACAATAGGCCTCTTTCTGCCCCCATGGCTAGCTGGCATGATTTAATGGTTGTTTAGAAGTGTTTATGGGAAAGAAAAATAAAATACTTCTACTATATCTAAACTCCCCTTCAAAGCTGTGAACGTGACTCTAGTTTGTGTTCCAGAGTAAAACCTATGTGGCCTCAGAAATCAACATTTTACTATTTAAACATCATTGACCTACAGGTATGTGTAAAGAAATGGCTGCTCATTTTCAAAAAGTGGCAATGACCAAAATACTGTAGAAATCCCCATTTTCCATAAATTCTACGTCATCGCTGGAGGCATCACCAAAAACTAACCAAATCATAGCTAGATAAGATGGGTCTTCTGTTTCCGTTTGCATAGCCATGTTTTTATTCTAGTAGCAATCTATTTCAAAATTGCCACAATACGCATTCTATATTTACAAAGATATTTTAATTATCTAAACAGATGGATAAGTCAACAACTTTACATTTGGAAAGGAGAATGTTTATCAGTACTGTCTGCCTCCAATATATGAAATGAAAAGACCCTCAAAATTATAAGTCAGAGTTGACAGAGTTTTTCTTGTCTGAGTAGTCCATATCCACTGAGTTGTACGGTAGAATCACATTTAAAGTAAAAAAAAAAAAAAATTACAGGATAATGTTCTGCCTGCTGCAGGCTTCTTTTTTCATTTTTTCCACAATAAAAATGTGCAAATATTATTTTTGACAAAAGTGTTTAAGTCTGATTTAAGATCGTTGCGAACTCTGAAAAGAGGCCATCCACTATTGGTCAGCTGGTTTAGCTAAATTAGCCCTGACTCTTGCTTGGTCCACAGCATCCAGCATGTTCTTGCTGTCCATAGCCAGAGTATGTGCAGCAGCCAGCATCTGTTTCTTGCACTCCTCCTTTAAAGAAGTGATGGCATTCTGCTGGGCCAGCCGCATTTTGCTGATGAGGTCCGCCATGTCGTTGTTAAGCAGCTTCTGGGTGCCTTCAATCTATAGTGATGGTGTAAAAAAAAAAAGGGGGGGGGGGGGGGCATTGGATCAGTACATCAGTTGGGTCTATGTTTCAACAGGTAAACATTATTCCAAAACTCTTTTCCTCATTTGGGCACTGCTGTTCTGCTGCATGTTACCTCAGTCCTGATCGACTCGTGTAGGGTGGGCAATACTTCATCCACACTGTGAATCAGATCCCTTAAGGCCATCCCAACAGACTGTGGAAGCGGGTCAGTACAGAAAATGAATCAGTTGTGTGACAAAGGAAGATTATCTTTGTATTTGGGGTTTTCCGATAAAGCAGCATCAGCCAATAAAACTGCAGAATAGGGTGGCTCATTTGTCTCTGTTACCTTGACAATAGTAATGTATCGTTCTGGCTCAAGCTCAGTGATGTCATTCTTTAGCTGGACAACAACTTTGACCAAGTCCATAACTGAGTGGTACACTTTGTCCTCAGAACGGTCCAGTTCCGCTGTGGGTGGAGCCTAAATAAAAGCAATGTCTTTAAATAATTAGAGAACTAATAAGCTATATACAACTATAACTAAACACAGAACAAAGTTATATCAACAATTTCTCCGTGGGGATAATATTACAAATTATTTTTTACCCAAAGTGTTATCACTTAAGCTGTGCTGTCTATTTAAAGGATGTTAAAATGAAATTACCTTTGCTGTGAGTCGTGGGGGCTTCTCAGGAGGTGCTGAAGGAAACAGATGATGGTTATGAAAGAAAGACATCAAGAAGATAGTTTGACTGAAAAGTGCTTAGAAGTATTATCAATTGAGAAGTTTCTTTTTTTTCCAAGTACTTACCATTCTCACTATCAGCATTGGGAGACTACAAAGAAAAAAAAGAGGTTTAAAAGACAGCTCATTTTATTCTTGTAAGATAAATTGTATATATTCTGAAAACTTTATCGATCAGTCTCCTCAAATGTGATTCCTGATGTGTCTTAATATGAATAAAAAGTGGAACGTGTTGAAATGAGTATAGCTATATGGGCATCCATGTACTTGCCCAGTCTTGACAAAATACTAAGAAAAGTGGGTTCAACTGCTGAAAGCTGCCTCACTTCTGTAAATCAGAGATTAGAATGCTTTTTCAGGTGATCACCTACCCCTGGAGAGGCGGCCTCCTCTGTTCCCATAGGGTCCTGCAAAAGAACAGGCAGGTTCATTTTATACTTTATAGACATGAGCCCTTTCTTTGGAACTGTTATCAGGGGGACATTTATTTTAAGACCGGTGGGGCATTGTGGATGGACAAGTGGGTTGACAGTTTTTAAAGGAGCCTTGGTCCACGCAGCCTCCAGGGTTACATTGAATTTGTGAGCAGAGCGACACAGTGACACGGAGAGGGGGTTGATAAAAGTTAATGATGCCCTGTTTCCCACCAGGAGTCTCTCCTCCTGTGCCAGCCACTTCTTATCCTCCACCATCTGCTCTTTCTGCTGGCGTAGTGTGTCCTGCATGTACTGCCGTTCCCTTTGCCACAGGCGCTGGGCGTCCTCCATGGTGCTAGGTTTCACTCTTGGAAACTCACTCTCCTGTGGGCACAACACAGGGGGAGCGACTGACTATGGATCTGTGACCTTGCGGCGTGCCACAGCTTTAAACCGTTGGACTGAATGTGTCGTACCCCCATGCTGCGGCGGCGGGGGGACCTGGCTGGCAGCGCAAGAGTGTTCCTGGAGTCAACTGGAGACTGATATTCACATGGGCTGGCCAGGTCAGGAGAGCTGGCACACAGGGCTTCATCCAGCTGCACAGAAACACACACACAGAATAGTAAGATTATGAAATTGGATTCTTTATTTTTGGACAATTACTCAATAACAGTGGTTTACCTGAATGTGCAGGCCGATGCTAAGCGTGTTCCCAAAGCGCCCTGGCATCATTCTTGAAGGCTTTCATTAAGATGAATTATGAAAAATAAAGGTAGGTTCTGTCAATTGAAACTTGGTAATGTTTAACAACCTATAACAATGGCGGAAATGAGCTGGGATTCCTACCTTGGGAGGAGGTTCAGTAAAGTTAAACTTGGGTTCGAAATATTTGGTGGACCGTGCTCTGTCTCTTTCTCTCTCCACATCCAGCTCCTTCTCCATCTTGAGGACGTCACTGACAGGTGAGAGGCACAGTCATGTCTTTGAGAAGTAGTACAGGTAATGCTAATTGTATTTTTCGGGTAGGTTACGACACAGTGTTTTGTTCTTATGTGACTCATATAGGATTTATTAAAAAAGTGATTTAGACTTTTTTTGGCTTGTGATCACAGACGTCCTGTGATCTTGGCCTTCAAATGAACTCTTAATCGTAAAGGCTTCTATAGATTTGCCATACATTTATATCAAATCTATACAATGACCAAATAAATACATAAAATGTATGACCACATTTTTTATTGAATCCCATAAATGGGTACCTGATTTTGAGCACAAGCTCGGTGAAACTGGGCCTCTCTCTGTGGTCGTAAGACCAGCAACGGGTCATGAGTGAGTAGAGAGCAGGAGGGCAGTCATCTGGTTTGGGCAGCCGGATGCCCTGCTCCAGCTGGTTGATCACATCTCGATTCTCCAGCCAGAAAAATGGCTGCTGGCCACGACTCATGATCTCCCACACACACACAGCTGAGGGGAAGCACAGACACAGAATCTACAAAAGCAAGTCTAGATATGTCCAATCAATTATTCACCAAACACACAGAACTGGGGAAAAAAGTTTAACAATACAGATCAGTGTATTAAGAGGGATAAACCGAAAACACAGCGCCGTGAGCCTATATCCTGCACTGCACATATAGTAGTAATAATAGTCTTTTAATAAGGTGGATAGTAAATGTAGTGTACTGTGTGTTCCTTATTTCTACACTCAGGATGTTCAGGCAATTTGGACATATCGGTCACCTCATAAAGTAAGGCACGGCTTGTTTGGGTCAATGATTAACCAGCCACATGGCATTTTCCATGTGGAGTCTCTACACTTTGTGTTTTGCAATGTGACCACGCTGTGGGAAGCTCACCAAACATCCAGACATCACTGGCTGAGGTGAAACGTCTAAAGTTGATGGATTCTGGGGCCATCCACTTGATTGGTAATCGAGTAACAGATGCTGCAAAGAAATATGAAGCCATGACGTTAAAACATCAAACTGCAGAAAATCACAAGCTAAATGTTTCCTTTGTCTCCAACCTAAATCTATAAGGATGTATGTCTGACTGCAGCCCCACTGTCCTCCAATGTACCAGGCCATTTGTGAGTCTGCTTTCTTTTGATTACCTTTGTAGTATTCTTCATCCTCAATGTATCTTGACAAACCAAAGTCTCCAAGCTTCACACAGTCCGGGCTGGCGACCAGCACGTTCCGAACTGCAATGTCTCTGTGATTAGATCAAAAGCAATTGAAGCAAAAGGTTTAGGCCGGCGCACAAGACAGTAACTGAGGTGAAATCAAGCAAACACAAAGCCTAATGGAGTAAAACAAGACCAGACATATTTATATTTTGTTATGGAGACAAGGAATATTTCCTTTGTCAAGGTTTTCACTTTTACACAAGCTTGGATCCAAGACATCCAAGGCTGCCTCGCTCTCCGACATGTTGATAACGTTCAGTTTTTATGCCATTTCACTTTCTCTGCTGTGTCTTGGCATCAGACTCAGCATGATTTGCAAAAGTTTCCCCATTTATATGTATATATATATATAGAGACATATATGTGTGTGTGTCTGTGTCTGTGAAAATTCTGATATTAAATTGAGACTATTTTTATTTTCATTAACATGGTGACAGGATGATTACAGTTTCACCCAAGGACTACATAAAAAACGGAGGGAGAATGTTAATGTTGAAAAAGAAAAGATAATCACATATTTAAAGTGAAAAAGCTTAACCCCCCCCCCCATCTCTCACCTGTGCACCATGTTGAGCCCTTCCAGATAGACGAGGGCTTTGCAGATCTGCACGCTGAACAGCACCAGAGTTGTGTTTGTCAGTTTGTTTTGGTTCTGAGTCAGGTAGTTTCCAAGCTGCAGGAATGTGAGTGATATTATCAGCCGGGCGCAAGGCCACTTATTCACAACCAGCACTGACACTCAGCAGCTACACTGAGGTAAAAGTTAAGGCCGAGTCTACTAGCCACGCCATTTCTTTTCCATTCTTCTTTAGCCAACAGTAGAATCAGGGCTGGCACAAACCTCTCCGTACTGATAAAGCTCCATGACAATCCACACAGGATCCTCCTCTATGATTCCAATCAACTTGACAATGTGGGGATGGTCGAGTTTCTTCATAATAACTGGAAAAGACACATTGTTATTGCTGCTACCGCCACTGTTCAGCTGTGGGGATGTAACGATGAACTTTCTTTCGTCTTTTTACCTGCTTCACTCATGAATTTCTCCATCACGTCGAATGAACAGTCCTTGCAGGTCTTTACTGCCACACTAACCCTGTCACCATTCTGTTGAATGACATTAAATAAACCTTTGTTGTAAGCTTCAGCTTTTTTGATGTTGTGCTTTCCCAATCTAAACAGCTTTTGGTGTTATGTATCTGAACCCTCATCATGGATGAAGACTTACAGCTTTTTTGTACATTCCATCATAAACTTCGCCAAAAAAACCTTCACCAAGAATCCGTCCAAGGACGACGTCGTCTCGATCGATGCCATACTTCACAGCTAGAGAGCGACAGTAACATTTGGAAAGTCCATAAAAATCAAACCAATTTGTTCTGCAAAAACATTTGAACTTGATACAAACCTGATTTAGGCCTCTCATCAAGAATCTCACAGTATATGTCAGAACCTGAAAATAGAAAGCTACATCAAATCAACGTGTTGTGTTTTGCTTTATTTTATACCCTGGTGACTAGCGTAATATGTTATGTAAAATTTGTTCTAAGAAAGAATATAAAGACTGTTAGCTTACCCATACTGTACCTACTGGAGCTGGATTGTCTGTTGAAATGATAGAATCAATTTCTAAGTTATGTCTCTGAAGAGCACTAAAAGAATAGTTCAACTAAACAGCAACTTACACTGTAGGAATATCAGGCAGGGAGCTCCGGGAAGTCTTAGCATCTGGAGCAGAAATTAACTTTGAGTTTCAAAATGTACTTTTAAAGAGGGCTACTAAAGTATTAAGTTCTTATCCTCCATGCTCTCAGTGTCAGTCCTAACACTGGTCATGGGTATAAAATAGTAGAAGGGTTGCACACACCTTTGTTTGGTCTGTAAATAACACTGTCATTTGTGCCATTTTCCAGGCGACAGTATCCATCAATTAGGTCCATCATATTCTCAGCCATAGGCACAGTGGCCACACTGACCGATAGTCGCTATTCAAGAGGACACAGAGACTTGAAATGCAAGCAAGCGCTCTGGGTCAAATTTGTGCTGAGTCAAACTTAATTTTTTGTGCAAATTGTTGATGCTCCATTTACCTGTCTGGCACCTTCTATGTCTACATTTAGGACTGCCTTCCCATCGCTTTGTGGTGAGCATTGTATTTTCTTGATCTGTTTGAAGTCAGCTAGAAACACAGCCTATGACACAAAAGCAAGGATGGTGATATGTTTATCTAGGATACGATGCAATAGGTTTGCTGTTTTTAAGTTTGGTGTCATATTCACACAAATGACAGAGAGGAAGATTAATAAACAGCAAAGGCAGTTCGGAGGCAATAGATGTTGTCAACTTTCTGCTTATTCAACCAAATAAACCCAAAATATTACACATATCCAGTCCACAAATTTAAACTGAATTTGCTATCAGCGAGCAGATGCATTATAACGGTTGGAAAGTTGAATTTAATTAAAAAAGGCAATTTAACATATTTTAAAAAAAAAAGGAATAATAAGGGAAAAAAGTCATAAAAATTCAGAGTGCTTACTGCTGAATCTTTCTGGGTGCGCTGACGAATGCCCCTCCCACCAATGACCAGCTCCACAGATAAACTCCAACCTTGCTGTTTCCACAAATAGAAGATTTTTTTTACATCAATATAACCCTTTTTTTAATGCCTGATGGTTGTTGTGATTCGTGAATTTAGAGACAAGCACTCACCACGAGCTCACATGGGAAGACCTCTTCATCAAAGCTGACAAATTCTTTGAGTGTCTCAAAAAACTTCATCATACAGCCGTCCTCCTTGAGCGTTGCAAACTGTTGAAATGTTTGCTGAATCAGCTTCCGTAGCTGTTTTGACTGGACCACAAGCAATATAATTAATAGTAGTAACAGTGAGTTATTGTTTCTGACAAAAAGTCATTCTTGGGTGCTTGTCACCACAGGTTGCATTTTATGTCGTAGGGAACTTTACCTTCATGCTATTAATCAGCTGCTGAGGAAAGAAAAGGTCCAGGCCCACTTCTTTTCTAAATGAAGAACAAAGATAACTGACAAACCATGGGCATTTAACAAGGTGAATAATACCTTTCAACCAGGGCCTGTTTTAAAGTGACCATAAATCAAAGTCCACCGCTAAGGTAAGAGTTGAAACAGAGAAATGTGGTTGTTGACATTGTGTAGAGAGCTGAAACTTACTCTAGAAGCTCAAAGTTCGATTTCTTTTCAAGCCCTTTTGCATTCATGTCTTTATAGAACCTCCTGTAAAAATGGAGGCAGAACAAATCACATTGGTTATTGAATTAACATTTCACACAGGTTTATTTGACCACAACAAACCAACAAACCGGCTGCAGTAAAGCTCAGACCCAATGCAGTGTGATTTCAGCCAACTCTCTCGCCTCACACTCAAACAGGAATGCAGTGACTCACCTGATCTCCAAACAACCAAGCTGCAGCGCCATCCCATCACTGACCTTCGTAGCATGATACTGCATGTAGTCACTCCGCACCTGTTATGAAGCATTTACAACTGTCAGACCGAGGAAAGTGCCAAACACTTAAAAAAACCGCATGGACTGAATTCAGTACCTGGTGGTAAAAATACATAAACGTCGATCTGTCATCCTGGAATTTCTCCAAGAAATTAACAGGAACATATCTGATCCGGAGGTCATACCTGCAATCAAGGAGAAAAAAAACTCAAATACAGTAGATTCTTAAATCACCAAGCGACAATACCTTCCACGTGATGTTTGACAAATGATAATATTGACACTAATATCTAACTTAGCATCGTTAAATGAAGCAAACATCCAACTGATTCATCTTTACCTCCACTCGGCCTCCACGTGATGGCTCTCGTAGCGCTGCTCCACTTCACCTACGGTCAGATCTGGGTGGAGCCAATGAAGTTCTTCAGACTTTAAGTGCTTAAGCATGAGACCGTAGCATCCTGTGAGCACCACATTTGGCCCCAATCGACCACTGACAAGGATCGAATGAATGATAGTCTGGGTGGAGACAGAGTGAAGAAATGTGGGCTTTATCTTTGATGTGTAGTCATATTTCAACCCATTGCAGATTGTAACAGACACACATACTTGAATGTTATTACCTTTGATTGTTACGCTCTCACCTTGATTTGCCAGGCACTGTCACATTTGACCAGCTTGAAGTTCTTTCCCAGGTTGTTGTTGGTACAGAAGCACACTTTAATGATTTTGATTGGCCCTCCGTCCCCAGAGAACGGCTCCTCAGAGGTGGGATCGGTCTCACTTTGTCTTGGACTGGGTACCTTCCAGGACAGGGTGTCACCGGACATCACCTCGTACATTGTCACGGCTGGGGTGGCGTCATATCCACATTATCCTTTCAACAGACAGAGGGAAAGCTATCAGATTAAGGAGTAACAGATCTATTTTCTATCCACTGAGCTATTTTTTTTAAGATTGGACATAGTGAGTTTGGACGTAATGAGACAATAATGTCTTATCGCCACAAAAGGACACTTTGTTCTATCAAAATACTACAGTCACACTTATGTTTCATCGTTATTCTGTGATATTGTGCCATGTGGCACTGATGATTCACAACATCTGAACATCAGAATCTTGCCAAACTTGTGATTTGGGTGATTCATCGATCAAAACTGTGTTGGCGTACAGACTTGTATCATCCAGTGTGAATCGACATGGAAAAGCAAGTCTCTTCCTTACTGGCTAACATTCCATTCTATAGCTGAGCCAACATACAATTCCTATGGCTGTCACTTCCATATTGGAAATGAAATAAGTTGTTGGTATTAGACCGTTCAACCAAAGACATGTGACACGCCAACCACTTTTCTCGTATGGTACTCAAATATGGAAGGAAAAAGCTTCTTAGTTTCTCTCATAAGGTTTCTATAAAAGTTTTTAAATGATGGCTGTTTAACAGAGCTTCGAAATATGATGCGTCCTTTTGGCCCCAGGGGTCCGAGGTCAGAGCAAGGAGTGATTCCCACCCTAGTCTGCCGTTTTCCAAATGTAACAAGAAAGAATGACAGCAGGCCCGATGTTATAGCAGGTATAATGTCACATTCTGTGTGTCTCTGCTTGTAAATATCAGGAGTTTTGATTGTATACATCAAATTGATTAAATTCTGAGAATCAAAATTTCTTTGAGAAAAAAGTCTGAAATCTAAAAAAGCCTCAAAGCATAACACAACTTCATCACAATGCTTTCCACAGCAACCTGCAGCACATAAATCTCAGTGGTAAATTCATGTTTGAGAAATATATTTCCCATAACTTGACAGCGCCACCATAGCCATAACTGAACCCGTGAAATAAACAAAGTGATCAAAAATACACAGTGTTATTCATTTAAATATGAAGCGAGTGAAAGAACATACAGGTCTTAGACTGAGCAGGTTCAAGGCAAGCAGTAGACTTAAAACAACCCAAAAAAGCCCTGTCCCGTACCTAAAGATTTTTGGCTGTTAACCCGCCTGACAACACCACGCATCAGGAGGGAGCCTATCTAATATTACCTCTCAAACCCTGTGCTGTTGGTTCCGCTGTGAGGCTGCTGAGCTGTGGTAGTTTCTCTCTCGGCTTCTCTGCCTCTGTAGGCTTGTGTTTTGTTAGCCTGAGGCCACAAATTCCCCAGCAGGGCTGCACGGGTTTGTTTGTGTGTAAAGTGTGTGAAGTGGGGAAGAGAGAAGGGAAAGGAGAGACAAGATGGTGAGCAGTGCACAAGCTGCGTGTTGCACCATCACCTGGGTGTGGGCGGCCTAACAGGCGAGGTTCAGAAGAGAGAGGTTTACAAAAACAAAAAAAACATTATGCAGGACTGGATGCACAAATGTATTTTTGGGCTCACGTGGCAGAAGCAAATAGAGAAGGACATATAATGTGTGAATATAGTGAAATGAAGATCTGACCATGTTTTGGCCTTTTCCATTACTGTGATCTCCTCTGTTAGTGTGTAATAAACGCATATGACACTGTTTACTTCTAGGTTTAGTTTGTAACACTGAACCCAACTTCATTTTGGATGCGTTGTTGGTGCGACATAAAGTTGTGATGAAGTTATCTGACAGCACAGCCAGCGTTTAGCTTTAAGTGTGTCAATTTCACTTACAAATGCACTATAAAGTAGACCTCCATGCAAAAACTACAGTAAAAAAAAGAGGGAGCCAAAGTCTACAGTGTCCACAGCATGGAATGAGCTGCCAAAAGGTTGGAAATCTATTAATGAATCAATGAAAGGGACCCTTGGGCTCATTAGGATTAAGCTGGGTGATCTAAGGACTGCTGCATTAAGCACACAGAGCACTCACAAAGCAAACAAATTACACTCAATAAAAAACAGAAAACTACTCAGCCATTAGGTCCTGTCTTCATCTTACTTGTTTACCTTCTTAAAAACAGACACCCATCAGGTACATAGTGGTGTTCCCTCTCACATACTGTCATGCTAGTACTTGAGCTGTTATAATAACACAGATTCCCCAGGAAGACTTTAGTTCTTCTCTTTCCCAACCCTTTCAACACAACAGAAGTCTTCCTGGAATAATAAGCACGAATATTCATCGGCCAGACATTTCTAAGAATGAGACTGACACTGCTCTTTTTCTAAAGTCTTGTTTTGGCCAAAAGGTAGATTTTCCCCCGGGCAAGACCTCGGACTGCGAGCGGCAGGAACTGATGACAAATAAGGACGAAATTCCTCAGGGGCTGGTGGAGAGGCAACATCTTTAAACAAGGCTGCACTTGAGGAAAGAGGAGTCTCGTGCACACAGAGAGACTTTAGTCAGCTAGTATTAAGAGTTCCCCACCGCAAACAGCTGGGAAATGTTTGACAGATTTTCCAATTGACAAATTGGAAAATTAAAAATGAATTCTCTAATGTCAAATTTGTATTACTAAACCACTCCAAAAAGCAATAATGACTTAAAATAGCTTGAAAAACACAATCAACTTGTTCATCAATATCATCTAGGAACCATCGATTTAATAAAACTTGCTTCCAAATAGTCTTGGAGGCATATATATACATTGTTTATGCTTTTAATACTGCTATGGAGTATCTGAACTTTCCCAAATAATAATAAAAAAGTGTTGTCAGCGTTATCAAAAGAGAGAAAAACAAACAGTTTTGATCAACTTCTCCAAAATCTCAGCCTTTGACAGTGTCTGCTGTCTGTGGTTCTAAGTAAACCGAACAGTGGCGTAACGAAAGACTTGTTGCTGAAATCTGTCAGGACATGCCCCCCTGACAGGCCTGGCATCCATTCCGTCCCCTCCTCTTATCAGATACTGTTTCTGTACAGTCTTGTGATACCTGACTTATCTAACCTCCTTCTGTGTCTCTTCAGACGTGTATTTCCATATTTTTCCAACAGGGTGGGTTTGCAAAGGTTTAACACGTGGCATGATCTCAAAGTGTGCGATGACTTTCTTCTTCAGTTGTCAAATGAGTGAAAAACTGAGGCTGTTGTTTGGAGCCGCTTTGCTGAGCGGAAGCAGGCGTTCAGAGAAAGTTGTGCCCAGGGTCTGCACATTGCACCGTCATGACCCCCAGGCGCTGGAATGCGGCTGGCTGCCTCCTCACCTGCACAGACACGCTTCTAAAACCAACCAAGCTCTCTCCCTGTGACAACAGCTCCAGCTTTCTAAGCAGACTGCCATCAGAATCAACTGCTTATCATACAATTAAAAACACTTTCACAGACAAGTTTGAACGAGACAACTTGAACTATTTCAGCTAAATTCAGCAGTGTTCTTTAAAAAGAAAAGTGTGGAAAAGAAAACACATATGCCTTTTTGACCTCTTAAACCTGAACTTGGAAGCTGACTTCATTTCATTAAGGTCCATGAAGGTGGACTGGGAGTTTCTACTGAGACCACTGGAACAAGTTGTAAACACTGAACATCGCAATACTTTAAAACTCCTGGTGTAAACATAAACATCAGTAATCCCCCACCGACTTACCTGATTTGAGACTGAACTCCGCAAAGAGCAGAAAACCTTACGGGCTTCCTCCAGGAGGATCCGGGCCTAACAGTCCGTCTCCGTCGGTGGAGCAGGAGGTGTCAGGTGGCCACTCCCTCACCTCGTGAGATAAGGTGGGTCCACTTCCTTATTTTGGGACTGTCGTGTTCCTGTTTAATTCAACTTGAAAAGCTGTTTGTCTATCTCAAGAGGTTTCCTTCTTGTCGTGAAGAAATAAGGTGTATTTTTAAAACGCTGTGAAAACCGCGAAACTGGTTCCTGAAAGTTCACTTTCATAGAAATTACTTTTTTTTTTTAAGTTTAAAAAAGTCATTTCAATATCATTGAAAAACCGACAGTTTTCGTCTTTTTATGCCCTAACTGTCAAAGTTTCGTTGTTCAGTTTTTCTGACGCAGCTCTCTGGGTGACGGTGTTGTAATGGCGCGGTGTGGACGGCAGGGGGCGGTAGGCGCCCACAAAGGGGCTGTAAGCTGGCTTTCACCGCCCCAATGGACTTCAATTCCAGCCGTGAGTTGAAAGTTTAAAAAAAAAAAAAATTGTACTCTGGCACAGATAAGGATGAGTGAAGGATTCAGAGACATCATAAGAAGAATAGATTTCCCCCTTCTAAATATAGTTTTTATTGTCTATAATAAGCTCTGACTGCATCTACATTTATTTTTAGTTGGACCCCCGTTCTTTGGCAGGTTGTTAATTGTTGTTTGTAAAATCACAGAGACTATAAGCCACATACAAACATGAATAATAAAAGCTGTAGACTTTATGTCCTTTTTTAGAATGTTGTAACAAAATTATTTACAGGACAGAAGAAAGGGGGCATATTTTGAAAAAAATAATACGCACACAAAATCTAGATGTACTTTACATTGAGCCACGTTAAACAGAACGTTACTTTAAGCATAAACTAAGCTGATATTAACATAGAATAGATACCATCAGGAACCACAATAATTATTTACAATTCATGTGAGATTCTCTGAGAATGCACAATAAAAAGCATTCACCACATTGGTATTCATGAAAAACTGCCATAATTATCCCAATTACATAAGTAAATGGTTGGTGAGATTATGTTCTGCTGTCATGGAAGCGTAGAAAAAAACACAACCAAAACAAGATTTTTAAAGGCCAATTAATAAAGTAACCAGATCATTAGACAAAAAAAACAAATACATTATTAAAAAACGCATGTGCATAAAGGTTTTTCATTCAGTCATCACTTTACATTCCCACAATGCCAGAAGAACTACAACAACAGTGGCTCTTATTATTAGCTCCTTAACACGCTTCCATAACATATATAGAATGTTCCCCACACCTCAGACTCTCCAGGG